GCCCTGCCCGCTGATGTGCCCACATTGTGCCTTCAAATGTCTGCATGTCCAGACATTCACCCCCCCGTGGTCGGCTGCCAGATGGCTTCTGGGATCTAAGCCCCTGTGGCCTCCTGTGACCCGGCCTGTTTCTGTCCCTCATGGCGCTCCAAGGTGGAGGCAGGATTAAGTTTCCAGGCTTCTGTGAGTCTACTTCTTCCTCTGTGTCTGTGAATCTCCTTCCATGGGAGAGTTTGAACATGGAGCTAGAGGGGACAGTGTGGGGTACTGAGGAGCAGCGTGTGCCCTTCAAGACCCAGTCCGGCATCCACTCTCTGCTCTACGGACTGAAATTGGACAGGACCGAAGACACGCCGGCACCAGCAGCTTCATTCTGGATGAAATGAGATCTCCGCGCTTAAACCTCATTCATTAGTAGAGCTAAAGCAATAAAATTGACTGTATCCACCCCACCATGTGCCTGTGCTCTGTGGGCTGGGCCCTAAAACGCAGGGATGGGAGGAGGGGAGAACCCGCCCAGAAGGGACACCGGGCAGGGTGACCTGGCCAGCCCTGGGCCAGCCCAATCTCCCTGGGGACGCAGCCCCCACACAACCATTGAATCACCTGAGTCAGTCACACGGGCTGAGCTTCTCCTGCCCAGACTGCAATCCAGCTCTGCTTGGCCCCTGGTTCCTCACACAGACCCTTAGCAACGCGTCCCCATGTCCAGACACTAAATCAACACCATCGCGGTAACTGTCCGCACCACCATGGGAGAGAGAGATTTACACCTTATTCATCCTGCGCCTTGCTCACTGTCCAACAGGAAACACTTGCACACCTGTTTTCCTCACTAGACTGCAGGCACCACGTGGGCAGGGATTCCTGCCTCTCCCTTCACAGGTGCTTCCCCGCTGCCTAGCAGTGCCGAGGACACAGAATCACAGTCATGATCAGCTGAAGGTTGCATGTTCATCCACTCCACACGCATCTCCATTCACACCCTGTGGAATTCACGCCTGCTCCTCTCTGGTCTCAGAATATGGTTTTGGCACAAATGCTGCCTCTTTACCAGATCAGTCACTGTGAGAAGCCGGCCTGTGGGGGAGCCCGCTCAGTGTCTCCAACGCACCAAGGTAATAGATGCAGAACAAGTTGTCTGTGTACGGAGAGAGACTCCCACAGGCCGCACAGCAGGGCCCCACTGGCCCTAAGGAGCCCAACATCCCCACTGAATTATGCACCAGCCTCCTGTGATACCTTCTCTGGCATCACAGGTATTCCACACAACCCAGGTATTCCACACACACCCCAGGTATTCCAACCACAAAGGAGAAAAGCTTCAGCCACGTCACATTCAACACTGGTGACGTGAAGGCTGTCATCTTGAAAAAGCTTGGCGAAAGGGGACAATCCCAGCCCGCATGAAATCTCTTCCACCACAGAGAAGTGACAACATTTCAAGGGGCAGAGACAAACAAAAAGGGAGAACAAGGGTAATCAGTAGAAAAGGCAGAGAGCTCCCCTGTGTGCCGGGGCTGTGCACTGTGCCAGCACCTGGGGAGGAGGCGGCAGCTCTCTGGAACCCACCACTCAAGGCACAAACCCCTGCTATGCAGAAGGAGGGCTGGGCACAGCCTCCATCTCCCCCCCCACCCAAGTTCATTAAACGACAAAAATAACGATTTAATAAAATTAACCTTTTTCTCAGTTGGTAGGTAACACCCCTGCTTTCTGGAGTGACTGCATTTTAAGGTCACATGTAAGTGATCTACTAAACAATTATATACAATAAAGGGAAACACTCAACCATACAAATCCAAATGTAAGGGGAAACAGGGAGTTTATCCACCACTGTCTTATCTCTCTGAAATAAGTAAAATAGATTAAAACAAGAACAATAAACACAAGTATGTAGTTAAAAGCACTTAAAACCCAACTCACACTTTCCTGAAGAACTGCTGCCAAGACAGTGAACCTGGAGCCGACTGCAGGAGGAACCGTCACCCCAACACAGATCTGGGCAGATGTCCAGGGAGCACAACCTCTTTCGTCCACGTGTATTCAAAGGAGCAAAGACAGGAACCGTGTCTGGAAGCAGATTCAGCGCAGGTGCGATGACTGCTCCTGGCTAGGAGGACGGAGCACCCAGGAAAGGAAAACGAAACTGAAGACAGTGACCCTTGACAATAAAGAAAACTTGGATGAGGTGGAAGAGGGGAATGCGAGCTGTTAAAAACGGCAGCATGTCCTTGCCATGTATCGGTGAGGGCACATAGTATTCTCTTGGTTGAGTCACAATCTCCTATCAGAATCGGCCGTGTCTTTATAAAGGCCACAGTGGTCATGGGGACATGTCCTTTCCAGGCAGTCATTGAGGGATTCAGCTGGGCAATTGCTCAGCCTTCACACCTGCCTGACAAAGGTTGTTCAGTCATCAGCAACACCAGTTCCAAACACTAGCTGGAAAGGAGCGTGGTCAGATCGCATGGAACTTAGCGTAGACGCCACCATCAAAGGACTATGTTGTTGGCAAGACTCAGGGTCATGGCCATGGAACTGCAAAGAGAGAGAAATTTCTGGTGGAAATGTGACCTAATGAATGCTGTGCTCCTTCGACAATTTCTCCACAGGGCAGAGTAATCAAAACCACGGGTGAGTGTTTTCATTAGACATTCCCGAGGCAGGATGGTTTCCCTTATAACCAGTGAAAGAGCCACAGAAAACATTCCCACTCACTCTACTGCTCCACTGAGGGCCTGGAAGCAACCTAGGAATTCACATTGCTCATCAGTGGATTTAGAAAAGGAACAAAAGGCAAATGGCTGCCTGGAGGTTGCCAGGCCAAAGAGAGGAAGTAGAACATGCTGTGAGGCTTGAGATATGGACCATACCCAGGACTAAGGCAATGATCACTCCCAGAGGATCCACAACAATGGCAGTGACTGGAATTAAGCCAAACATCATGACAGGGTCACTTAAAGTTGTCTGGAAGGCAGAAAGGCTTTAAGATTAGAAACTGGATGGGCTCTTGCCCATCAGAGGAAGCAAAAACACAGAGACTGTGAAATACAACGTGAAGGGAAAGCTGTTATGTGAGGGCATATTTGCAAGCACAGTTTGCAGAATAATAATTTTCCAGCGAGCCCTGAGTGATCAATTAATGCATTTTAAACAAAGTTAACATTAAACACAATAACCTGGATTTTACACCATAAAGAGAGCCTAGAAAAGCACACTCCCTTCTAAAGGAATCTTCTATCAAATCTACTAAAAGTTCAGCTCCAATTCTCAAAGTGATCAGAAAATACAAAGAAGAAGACAATGGGAAAGCAGCAAGGCCTGTCCCAGTGGATCTAAGAAGAATTGATGATTTTTATACTATTTTTTAAAATTCATTTTATCCAAAGTTAGAAGGTAAAATACTACATACACATGATGTATTTTAAAGGAGCAGAGAGAAAAATCAACTGATTTCATGGGGAAATCTGCAATTCACTGGAAGGGTCTGCGTGTCCACAGCAGCCCCTGGTGGGTGAGCGCAGCTGCCACAGTGAACAGGCATGTCCAGGTGGCACCAGAGCCTCCTGCCCACTCCCCGCCCAGAGGTGGAGGCAGTCACGTTTCCTCACTGGGCCCGCACTTGCTGCCTGGCCCGGCTATCCTGGCTTGTCCACATCGCCTGCCAGATACCTGCAGGCATTGAAAGGCATAACATTTAGCCCCAACCTTTCACTCAACAACCTATCTGGACATTTCTATCTACGAAAGAGGAGGGAACATCTCTCACTACCCCTCTGGGATATTCTTGCGCTTGTGAAATAATCAAGTGATCATCAAAGAGTTTAGGAGGAGAAAAATAGATTTAATCGCATGTGTAGAGGAACCTAGGAATGCAGAGAGAGGATTCCAAAGACAGGGAGGCAAATCCGGGC